GGCGAAAGATACAGATCCAGAGGAGACCAGAGGAGAGGGTATACTACGATGTCTTTGCAAATCTAATCAGCGTTAAATGGACCTGTCAAATGTGTGCGTCGAGATGGTCCGTGTCAGGATCCATTTAGCGTTAAGCCCCAGTGCTGTCTTATAGGACTGCAATTACAAAACATCGGAATCCAAAGCTATTTTTTGTCACACATCTAAATACAGCTCTTATATCTTACAAAAGGAAAGGTGAGCCAGGTGTAACCCAGATGTCATGTATACCAATGTCCTTCAGGAGGTTTACCCCAACATGCACAATAACATAAAATAGATAACTAAAAATGTCCACGCACAATTTTATCTGATACTGTTTTGACAATTGTAAAAGCTATAAAAGGCCCAATTTTATACTTCCATGTATGTAATGGTTGCTTTGTGTCTGGAGTGACTATCTGACAGCTGCTGAAAAGAAGAATAAAGACAAGATGGGAGAATCTCATTACTTAAGAGAAACAAGAGCACAGAAGTGTGTAAACCCATGCTAATTAGTTGCTGCTACTTGCCACCGCCTAATTAATTTAATCAAAAGTACCTTCTCCTCTGATGCAGCCTGTATCAGTTCAGAAATACAATGCAGAGTTCAGTCAACTGTGTTCATCACAACAGACAACACAAGCAGTCTTTTTATGGCTTTTAAGTAATGCAGTTTATTCCATTGAGATAAAACCTGAAGTATTTGACATTTGTGATGAGGGGTGTGCCTATCCTATACTTATCACAGCAAATCCTATAGTTAATTTTCCATTTTAAATCTGTCACATCTAAAGGACAACACTAAAACTCATCCATTACTGACCTCTAGTGTTTTGAGTTGCTTCATTCTCTCAATACAGAAATCACATCTCTTTAAAACCTGCTAATATCATTCAGACTAGAGAGTAAATGCATGATGGAATGAGTCTTAAAGATAGACATTTTTCTGTACTACAATAAAATTTGAGCTGCAAGGTTGAATAAATAACTTCTATGGATCATTAAGTGTCTAATTTATTTCTTGTAGCTCATGTTTATTAACAATACTGCACATATGTATTGTTTTGGGGGTATATATATTCTATTTTCATAATTTGTTTTCATGACAGGCCTATAAATGTCTGTAGTTTGATGAATATACTATATAGCTACTATACTTAACTAAGCTAACTGTCATTTTTTTCATACAGTTTTGAGTACCCCAATATATGTGCTTTTTTTTTTTTTTATCCAATAAAACCTTCTTTTTTCTTGTTTTAATTACATTATCCCATTACACAGAAATTTGACTATGCTTGTAAAATATATTACTAAGATGCAGGTATTACTTAATTCCATCTTTCTTTTAAATCTAAAACCATTCCAAGTACCCCTTGGCAAGTGCTTGTGTACTCCCAGGGGTCCCTGTGCCCCTGGTTGGGAAACACTGGCCTAAATCATCAAATATTAAAACTGAAGTACACTTCTAATACTTAAATGTGCACAGTTTAACACAATGTTTTCTGCTCAGCTCCAGTGAAATGTTAAAATGTTTCATGAACTTGCATTTAATGAATTCGTATAACTTGTTTCCATGGTACTAGATATGTTTAATGCCATATAGTGGAATTCTAGGCAAGAAAATAACATCTCCATGGACACAAGCAGGTGGCAGACCCTTCACCAGAAAAGTTACATAGTGCACTCTATAGGCTCTATAGGCCCTTTGTATGTGCTCTAGTTGTGGTTGAATCTGAATTAAAAAGCTTTAGATTGCTCAGTGTGCTTTCTATTATAATGATGTTTTTAAGTCATTATTGTTTTTATTTGTTCACTTTTTCAGGCTTTCTTCAGTCAGATTTAGCATGTCTTGGTGACACAGGAAGTTTCAAAAGCTTGTCTCAAAACTACACGCAGAATCCCATTTACATGATACCTGAATGATCTGAGTAATCTGCTTTTGGATGAGGTGACCCATTTAAGTGTCATATGGGGAGCCAGTGATATTGATATACATTGATTTTGTATAAGACATGTGTGTTGAAATGCTCCCAAAGTGGGCATAAAGATGTCATCAGTGTACAGAGGCGAGAGAGAGACTGTTTATGCATATGTACCCTGCAAGGTGAGTGTATCATTTACCATCAAGTCATTGGGTTCAGCAGGCATCTAATAACAAAGCATTTATGGCCCACTTACTCATGCATAGATACAACAGTGCCAGTGACAACAACATCCCAGCGCCCCGCATCTCCCAAAACACACATCCCGATTGGACCCAAATACTCTAGAATTCTATCATCAGACTCAGCCACGAAATTAAAATGGCTCATTTTCTGTCTCCATACAAGGAGCAGATCAATTTCCGGAGAGTAAGACGTGATATTTTCCTGCCATTGGGCTTTCTCGTCTCTGGCACAGCACCCTGACTGTCTACCAGCAGGGGGCCCCGGCCTGACTGCACGCCTCAGCGGAGAACAGTTACTTCTGCCGCCGCGAGTTTATTTGCGCCTCGCTATGAGAATTGCCATCATTTACCCTTCCCCTGTGCCTCCCAAAAAGAAAAGAAATAGACAAGAAGGAAAGCGAGGCAAAAGTGAGGAGGCCAAATTGATTCTTTTTGATACATGCTGCATGGGGGACATTAGGCACCCCTCGTTTGACCGTCTATTTGGGAAAATGAACTGAATAAATTTGTGGTAATGTATATAGGCCTTTTGGGAGGCCTTGCTGTTGTTCAAGTCAGGAATCAAATGCTCATCCCAGCATGCAGTGCAGCATCATCTGGGTTTTATTAGAATTCAATTAATCATTCTCTTTCTCAGTAACTCAGTGTGAGTTAAACATTACAGTATTAGTAACAGGCTAATGAAAAGGCAAATTATATTTAAAGTTATAGAGTTCAAACGAGACTCCTCACTGTTTTCAAGAAATTCACTAGTTTTAAAACTTTGTTTGATTTATAATCCTGAGGATTTTTTAAATGTATTTGTATTCTGTATTTTGTGAATATTAGGCCTTAAAACAAATGCCTTAATTCTACTAACATACATTTTTATAGCATCTTTCAAGACACTAAAAATCAGTTTACAATGCATTATCCATTCAGTCCATAATCAGTGGTTCCTTCTGTAGCCACAGTTGCCCTGGGGTAGACAGAAGCAGGGCTGCTTATCTGTAGCCTCCTTTACCACCACAATTCACTCACTTGTCACAAAGGGAAGTGTTTTGCCCAAGTACACAACAACATTATCCACTGGCCCAAGCAGGGATCAGTCTAGGTTGGTGGATGAGCACTGTAGTGTACACTGGTGTCCAGACTATGGTCTGGGGGTCAACTGCAGCCTTCAGACCTATGTTTGTTGACCCTGCTGAACTGGCCCAAATGACCAGGCAGTATCAAACTGCATTGTGAAACAAACCTGACATTAATGTTCCTAGCCTTATTAGAAGTACTGGACTGTCTCTGAATGCCGTTTGAGTATCTTACTATATTTACTAGTCTGTGACTCTCCACCTCACAGGCCTAGGCCAAAATGACTCTTTCCCAGGTGACACTGTGAATATATAAATCTATAAAATAGTGAATGGTCCTACATTATGCAAAATTGCCTCTTGTGAGCTCTAAGCCATGTTATAATGTTGTCACCTCCTCAAAAACATACCTGGCGTTGCATTTTGTTTCATTCACATATATTTGAGTAACTCTTTGTTAATAGTCTGTCTAGTGTCTACATCTCCAGAACTCAAAATGCTCTGTTCCACATTGTGATGTCATGAAGTGTAGTTTTTAAGTTGTTAACTTGAGACCTTTTTTTCTTTTAGTTAAGCTGAAATAATCCAAATGATTCTAGTAAAGGTGTATGGACTTTAAAAACACAGTGGAGCACTTTCCATATTACCACATGACATCACAATGTGGAATAGTTTGAGAGAAAAACTCATTTTAACTATGCAATGTTTGAGTGTTAAACATGTGTGAATGAAACAAAACACAGCTCCAGGTATGTGAGGAAACAACATTATAACACATAAGAAAATAACATAATACGGGCCCTTTAAAGACAGGATTGTATAAACATGCTTGCCAGTCAATGCTGAAATACTTAACTTAAAGTAAGTTATTATAGTTTACACTCACCTGACTCTCTTGTCACTTTTTTTTATTGTGGAACATGACAAAGTGTAAACAGCATACACCACATAAACTGTCTAATTTAATTGTCAAATGTGAAGTCAGTCATTGTTCACTTCTTCTTTCATCTTTCATCTTTGGACTAACTTTGGAGTAACTTCTCTGTCTCACTGGCAATAGTGATTGTCACGTTATTCCATTCAAAAAATTGAACGCTGAATATTTATGAGGCATTTTTTGACAGACAATATCCTCAGATAATCCTCAAAAATAAATGTAAGCTTTTCATTTCCTATATTTAATATTTTTATATTAGAAGTAAACCCCTCCATTTATTTGAGGTCAAATTTTGCACAGATGTCGGTCTTTTCAGGACGTGGGGAAATGCTCGATGACATGTTTGCACAGAGTCCATCTGAGGTCTACACAAATAACCCAATGGCAATATTTTGTTTCTCTATAGACCTATGTAACAACCATGTGTACTGACATTGCATTGCTACTGTATCACTTACTAGGGCTACACTTTGGTAATTTTTATTCTTATTAGTGGGCTGATCGACTGCATTATTTAACTTCAGGACAATATAGGATCCAATTCTTTAGCCCGCGTAGCTACAGTGTGCTGACTACTGATCACTTCTGTGCTTACTATATCCAAAAGCTCTTGCACGTGCGATTTACCTTTCTGACTTTTTATGTATTCTTGGCTCCAGTTTTGGCAATGGACGTTGTTTGCGCTGTTTTTTGCCTCTGGCGTGCCCTGTAGCCTTTGCTGTTACAAGTCCATCCGCTTTTGCGTCACGGGCCCAGTTCAGGCTTAATTGAACCCAGATTGAGAAAGCGTTTAAATCCAGCCCCTTTCTCCTGTGTCCGCACACCAGCACGCGCTTTACCAGCATCTGAGCAACGACAACACGCTCAAGCAGACAGGGAATACCAGACCTCAGTGACATTTTGGAGTGCAATAGATCATTAAGCATGGCTGGACTTAAGGTAAGACCAAACAATTTAATGACACTTTTCAGTCAGACGTTTTATTATCAACTTCCAAACTGTACAACACTGCATGGGTGAATCCTGCACTATAGACCGGATATACACACGAAACAACAACGTGTGCAGCGTGCTCAAACTACACCGTGTGATAGTGAACACCTAAACAACTAATTTATGTCTCTAAGAAGTTTGCCACTGCTTTGTACCGCGCGTTAATGTGCAGCTGAGCGCAGACTGAAGGGTGGCGCTGTTTCTGACCAATCAGAGAGCAGCATTCAGCAGCTGCCCAGATGTGACATGAGAGGAACGCTAGACTCGCCTGACGTACTGCTAATGTTTAAAAGGCAAATAAAGCTGGCCTACTGATGACAGAATACACAATTTACCGATTCATATATAGACCTACAACTCTGTACTTTATACTCACTAAATACAAAACCTTTTTAATATCTAAGACTGACTTGAGTCATACAAAGTGAATATGGACTTGCAAGTTAACATTTATGCTTAGAAATGTGTTCTTCATGCTCATACAGTATAATATAGGGCTGCAGCTCACCAAGCATGTAGCTGTGCATACATGACCGCAACTTGTGGAAAACATCCAGGCCTTTGTCCTGGCTGTGCAGATTCACAATGACTCAGCAAGATTTTGGGGTGACCAAAATATACATGTTGTTTATTATATGCAATACAAAAATGCACAAATAAAGCATGGTATAATTGTTATATTGATCAAAATGAAGAAAATAATTATCATAGTATAATAGCACTGTCTAATGGTTTGCAAGGAGGTGGTACATCCAGCGTTGCCACAGTTTGTTTTATCATGTATCTAATATGAATCAATATGAAAACAATTAGGAAAAAGACCAGCCGTAATGATAAGCCTCAAATTTAATTATAACCAGCATGAGCACATTTGTCATGCATCACAATGAAGCTCCACAGAGCTCTTTATTTTTCATTTTGAACTGTGTGTCTGATGTGTGTTTGTCTCTCTCAGTACATGAATGGCTTTGGGAACGATTTCTCCTCTGAAGATCCACGCTGCCCAGGGGCCTTGCCCGAGGGACAAGTAACTCAAAACTATGCATTTTTGTTTAGACTAAGTAACCTTTTGGTTGGGGATCCGTCACCTGCTTGTTCCACAATATGACAGCTCTACCTTACATTTATTAAATTACAGTTGTTATTATAGCTTAAAAATACTTGGGTTAAGGTGCATTCTGACCATGAGTGGGGTTGCCTCTTCATAGAGATGACTTGTAACTTAGTCTGGTTTGGTGTCAGTCAAGATAAAAAGGTTTAATACCCTACTGTGAAACTTTCCAGACAAAGCAATAACAACTCCATGGAGAAAAGCATTTGACAGACCCTCCACCATAAAGTTACACAGTGCACATTTAAATTTACAATTTCAAACACTGAGAAGGAATATTGTGTGTTTTTAAATATTGTTCTGCCTCACCACATATCAGAGATAAGATTTTAGTTTTGTGTGTGTCCAGAACAATCCTCAGGTGTGTCCTTATGGCCTCTATGCTGAGCAGCTCTCTGGCTCCGCCTTCACCTGTCCAAGGCCAGCCAATAAGAGAAGGTAAATGTCTCTTTAACAGAAATTAACTCTGACAAGACGTTTCAAATTACAGTTGTAATTAACCCATAATGCATTTCTTTGCCTGTGTGTAGCTGGTTGTATCGCATTCTCCCATCTGTCAAACACAAGCCCTTCACTCCCGTATACTGTGGAAACATCACCGAGAGCTGGAATGAGGTGGACCCAGATCCTAACCAGGTATATACCATTTACAACCCAAAACCATGACCACCTCACCCACATAATAGATGTGTATGTCACTGTGACACTATACAGTTAGCGGTTTATAGTAGCAGTAGTAGTAGTACCGTATTAGAAGATATTAAAGAAACTGATTTACAGAGTTGGGAATGATTGTCTGGCCACCCAAGACTGCACACCTTTCCAAAAATTTTACAGAAAGTTTGGAGGGACTGTCCCGAGTTTGTCTATTGTTCTATTTTGATTATCAGGCTGAATTTTCTGGTTGATAGAAACATATTCTTACTCTATAAAGACTGATGGGTAGAATAGTTATAATCTCATGCCTGATTACTCTATGACACTGACCGTTTTATTGTTGCCATGCAATGTACTAAACTAATATGCACTTATTCACAGCTAAGATGGCTCCCTTTCACCATCCCGAAATCTCTGGACAAGAAAGTTGACTTTGTGGCTGTAAGTTTGATCTATGTTAACATGTTAACATCTTATATTCATTATCTATTTTATTTTCTAATTTTAATCTTCAAATGTTTAATGCTTTTATGTTGTAGGGTCTCAATACACTGTGTGGTGCTGGTGATGCCAAATCTCGTAATGGCATTGGCATTCACATGTATACCTGTAACACTTCCATGGTAGACAGGTATAATGCTAAAAGTATACATGTTTTATATCAAGTTGCTGTCCTGAGTTAGATCTGTATTTTTTCTTGTTGTAGGTGCTTCAACAACTCAGATGGAGACTTTTTGATCGGTGAGCTCTTCTGATGTTTTCACCAAAACAATGAAAACATACCTTGTTTTTCCCATATTTCTAAACCTCTTTTGTCTCTGCAGTCCCCCAGCAGGGCGGTCTCCTGATCACTACAGAGTTTGGGAAGATGATGGTCGAGCCGAACGAGATCTGTGTCATCCAGGTGAGTGTGTGTTTTGCTATCCGGCCCATTTGAACCGAAATACAGAGCGCATCAATAGCCTACTTACAATATTTAGAAAGACTCACTCCTTTCCCTAGTGACCCCTAAAATAAAGAGCCATAGAAAGAGGCTATAGATACACAAAGACTGACCATTACAGTTGTGATTGCGGAGAATGCGCCTGTTCCCAAACACAATATTATATGACCTCAAGGGTCACCTCAGCATCAGTGCATCCCCTATTTTATACATAACAACAGTGTAATTTGAGTCTCTACTGTTGGACATGTTCACTTTGCAGCAAGGGATGCGCTTTGCTGTGGATGTCTTTGGAGAATCTCGTGGCTATATATTGGAAGTGTATGGAGCGCATTTTGAACTCCCCGACCTGGGACCCATCGGTGAGTATTTGCGGTGTTGGTAATATTGGTTTGGAAAATGTCTCTCCCAGTCTGCATGCCTTTTCTGTACAATAACCACTGTTGAGTCAATCAATTCACTCTTTTCTCAAATGTAGATCTTTGTGTATACACTGTAGTACGTATAGCATCATGTTTATTATTTATGGTGGCTGGAGAACTGGGTGTCTGGAAACGGGACTTGGCAGACCAAATCTCTCCAGTTGATACTGTTATTATGTCCTTGGGCATATCAATCTTACTTTTATGTAGAGGTAGGTAGAGTAGCCAAATATACACCCAAGTAGCACTACTGATAAATTAAGACTGATCAAGGAAAGGTAAAAAGTGGTGATTCAAATAATGACAGAAGTTGAGAACAAGAAAAGGAAATAGTACTGATGTACTGTTTTGAACATTTGATTTATGATATTTATGAGTTAATGTAATCTGGAAAAGAAAAAAATTGCAAATGGTCAAATGGTTAATTGATTAAAGATCCTATATTATACCAAGCTTGAGCTGTGAGCTTTAAGCCATGTTATAATGTTGTTATCTCACCAAAAGCAGCAGAATAGTGTTTTGTTTCATTCACACGTGTTTGAGTAATCAGTTTATTCGTTTGTCTACATCTCCAAACCTCAAAACGCTCTCTTCCACCTTGTGATGTCATGTAGTGGTAGTTAACAGAGAAGTTAACAGTTACCTTTAATCTTTAGTTTAGTAGAGACTGGCAATTCCAGGTCTTAAATCACCCCAAATGTTCCTAGTGAAGGGTTGTGGAGTTTAAAAACACAGTGGAGCACTTCCTGTATTGCCACATGACATCACAAGGCGGAACAGAATGTTTTCTGTCTGAAAGAAGAACTCCAGGTATGTTTTTGATGAGGAAACATTATAACATTGCCATAAAGTTTGTTTTACTTACATAGCAGGAAGCATAACCTTTAATTGCATAAAATACAAAATATAATCAGGAGAAGAATGGTATGATAAAACTACTAAATGTAAATGACTACTAACTACGCACCCCTGCTTGTGTGAATATCTTATGTCTCATTGGAGATGCTATAGTAGTGGACTGATTGCAGCTGTGGCCGTGGCTTTAGATATCTCTCTCAGTGAAGCTAAACAAATTATATAATTGTAAGGCAATTAGAAACGCTTATAGCAAAGCACTGACAATCTCTCCTTTTTATTACAGGAGCAAATGGCCTGGCAAACCCCCGGGACTTCCTGTGTCCGGTTGCATGGTACGAAGACCGCACCGTGTCGTCAGGTTACACAATCATCAACAAGTACCAAGGAAAACTCTTCGCCTGCCAACAGGTTCTTGTGACGCTCCTGCACTTCTCTCATCTCAATTATCCACACACAGACAGGCACTGACACATATGGCGCGCTGGCCTATTACCCCGTTGTTAAGTTTGTTTTTGCTTCAGTAAACACTGCAATGACAATGAATAACAGGAAACCGTCCAAGTGGCGCGTGTGATCCATTAGCCGTTCCCCTCGATTGGATTGCCCTCCCTGATGATTTAATATCGAAGCGCGTTGGTGTGTTTCCGCTCCGGCTCCCTTATGAGCTTTAATCACTCGTAATTAGTTAAGACCTTCTGGAGTTCCATGCAGTGTACCTGTGAAGAAGAGAAAAAAACTTCCTGTAGTACAGCATTAATTTGAGCATGATCCTCCCCCTTTTCTCAGTGTCCTATTGCGTGCGTAATTGGATCGGGACATAATGTGTGACAGGCTTTTTTTTTTACCAAGACAAGCTGCCAAAGTGAGGGGCCATGTACCATCGCAAAGCATGTCAATCCACTGTGTTATTATTAATCTTGCAGAGTACAAAAGGGCAAGATACTTTTTCCAAGCAAAACAAACACTTACCTGCCGCTACCTACTCACTGTTGGGTCAGGGATCAAGAGCTGCAAACTGTTGGTGGCACCTAGCACTGTTTTTTCAGCCTGTCCTCTCCTTTCAGAGCGTAAATGGTCAGGCAAGTGGGGTAACGTGCAGAAAATAAGGCGTAGGATTCATTTTAGGGAAGATGTTGGCTGCTTGCTGTTCTGTTCCCCCGCAGAGTTCTGAAATTGCTCAAATTAACTTATTATTTGCTTGACTGGACCAATATGTCTGTGTTTTGTGTGCATATGTGTGCAAGCGCCCGTGTTCTTTCATTTTCCCTTTCAAATTTAATCAAATTGTGTAGTTTCTATAGTTGGAGAAGATAATACATTCACTTTTGCCTTATTTGGAGTTATTTTGCAGGACAAAGCTTTACAAGTCAATTCATACATTTATTTTTTTACACTTAGAATATTGCAATTTGCAAACACACCACAGACAAAAGCTGATCAGCTGCTAGTACACCTTGTTAAATTAAGTCAGTACTGCAAAGTAATATTGATCTAAGGATGTTTGTAAATATGCAAGACTTCTACAGTACACTTCATTTGTTAATTTTAATTTTAATTATTGGTCATGTTTTTATTCCAGAAAATAAGGGTATTGGGAGACGTACAATATTGGCAATAGATGCAGAGCTTACAGTGCACCAATATTTAAGAACATATATATTTAACTATATGTATAAATAATCTTGTATGTTAATGTAAAGGTTTATTGTTGAGTGAAAGTTGTGCTGTATTCTGTTGAGTGTGTGTCTGTGTGTGTTTTGTGTGTGTAAAGAACATGGGGGTCACTGAAAAGGCAGCTTGAGTTGTAATGAACTATATTGATTTCAGAGCTGCCGTTGAATGTCTTTTTCACAGTGGCATTATCAGAACAGAGAAGCTATATAAAATTGCAGTGGTTTTAACAATCAAAGATAAAGAAATATCTCTGCACCTACTGTTACCGCGCCCCGCTCCCTCCCCGATAACTGTGCTGCTGTGCGCGTCAAAATGCTCAAAGTTTGGGAAAGTTTGATTGGGAAGCCAATTACATCATAATACCTGGAGCCGTGAATCACAAAGAACAGGGGAATGAAAAGAAGAATAAAAAAGCGCACCCTCTTTCACAATCAACCCTTTTCATTACAAACATTTTTTCTCTTTATGTCAAGGAGTACTTTCTCTGAGAATTTAAGATTACAAAGACATTATTCATTGTTCCTTTTCTCCAGTAAAAACCCCAATTTAATATCATTTGTGTTTGTTGCCTGGTTAGACTTGTCATACAATGTTTGTTTTGTTTTGTGTACTGCACGTAGGATTTCTCGCCGTTCAATGTGGTCGCCTGGCACGGGAACTACACACCTTACAAATACAACCTGGAGAACTTCATGGTCATCAACTGTGTGGCCTTTGATCATGCGGTGAGATACAGTAATCACATTGTTAGGGTTTTTAACTTCATGTTTACATACACAAATAATCAACATTGTTATGGTAAATCTATAGGACCCATCCATCTTCACTGTGCTGACAGCCAAATCTACTCGTCCTGGTGTTGCCATTGCCGACTTTGTCATCTTCCCCCCTCGCTGGGGTGTGGCCGAGCATACTTTCCGTCCTCCATACTACCATCGTAAGTGAATACCCACATGAATATGAGACTAATACTCTGCTTTTATACACTTTTGATTGCACATTTATATAACAATGTACCTTTTCTAAATAGATGAGGTCATTTGACATCTCTATGCTATATATCAGTATAATTATATTTGAAAATAGCCCCTTGTCACCAGAATAAATGGATAAAACTCTCAATAAGGGTACTACCTGGGTGTGTTGTGTAACAGCTCTCCCTTGTGGCATTTGTAGGCAACTGCATGAGCGAATTCATGGGACTGATCAAGGGGCACTACGAGGCCAAGGAGGAGGGCTTCCTGCCAGGAGGGGGCAGTCTCCACAGCATGATGACCCCACACGGCCCTGATGCATACTGCTTTGAGAAGAACAGCACCACTGATCTTGAACCTGAAAGAGTTGCTGAGGGAACTATGGTATGGAAAGCACTTAAAATGTAAATATAAAACTTAAACACTGGTTTGTGAATACTATGGTCTTTTTCTTTCAGGCATTCATGTTTGAGTCTTCATTCAGTATGGCGGTAACTAAATGGGGGCTGGAGACCTGTCAGCGACTGGACAAGACCTACTATCAGTGCTGGGAGCCTCTACGCAGCCACTTCAACCCCTCCTGGAGACCCTATAGGAAGTAGAAAGAAACTTCCAACATAAAATGATCTGAGCAAAACTCAAAAGGCCTATATAATGTAATTTTTGCTTTTTCTAATTGCTTTAAACCCCATATCCTTTGAATTTCTGAAATTTGTCAGTAGAGGAAGGCCTAAGTGAGATGCAAAAAATAAATAAATAAATAAATTTACAGTTGAGGATTGAGCCTTATCAAGAATATTAAGGGAAGCTATCTGAGTATTGAAATAATCAGAACAAGTTGTAATGAAACCGTGAAATACAAAATAGATCGATGGATTAGGATGTGCTAACATAGAGGAGGAACTGAGAGTTTCAAGCTCTGAAGAGGGAGATGGGCTAAATATTATTAATATAGGATTACTCTAATATGAGTGGAAGATACATAATATAATGTAACACAATTTTGATACATAGTAAAATACATTATATAAGCCTTTTAAAGAAAGCATACCACATTATCCCCTTTAAAACTAACAAAGTATTAAAAAAATATGTGATTTTTAATAACTCAGTAATGTTTGCCCAACCTGTCATGTATTGTTATTAAAAGCACCATGCTCTGTATTTAACAATGGACTGGACTAAAAGTGATGCTTGTGATCAAACTTTGGCAAGTATTTAATTTTGTGACTAACAACTAAAATAAACATCGATTTATATAACTTAACAATATGTGTTCAGGTTTTGTGAAATATTAAACAGGACATTAATGCTTTTATATATTTTATATTCATCATTATTAGTGCTTAGTTTGGTGGGATAGTTTAACATCAGTTAAGTGGCAGAGAAAAATGACAGTAGCAGCACTGAGTTCTATCCATGTCATCAGTACAAAAAAATCTCACACAAAATGAAGGGACAATTTATACACGGAACACAAATTTCTGACAGTAAAATTATAAAATTCAAAGTAGTAAAAAAAGGGCAATTTAGGCAAGAGCTTCCATCTAAAATCTTAAAATATAATTATGTTATGGCAAGGCCTAATACTGACATTTAAAACTCTTGACACCTTATTTTCACAATAGAACTTTATTTTACTTATAATCATTTCACACATTTAAATCACAAGAACTAGACTTTGTACAGCTGCTCATGATGACAGAGCAAACTTGCGTTCACGGGTCCCAGCCTTAATCTGCGCCTCTTTTCGATCCTATAAAACACATAACATTATGGGTTAGCAGAGTTTCCATAGCAACACAGATATCATATCACCTCATCCTTTTCACCTTGAAGATATTTTCTCTCAACTGCATGTTTTACAAGCAAGTATTTTATTATTTTCAACAATTTTCCACCTCCACACAGCAAGACAAGCATGATAGCAACAGTGTGACTATTGAACCAAATTTTATATCGCAGTTTGAGTGGACAGGATTTAGAGGGTGAATCTCCATGACAATAGGGGAGCAAGAACAAAATTGGACTGCATGTGAAATGAGGTACTTATTTGCGAGTAAACCCAGGAACATTTTGTACAGCTCCCAAAATGGTAATTCAACACTGACGAGTTCTTGACACTATTCAATTTAAGATGGCAAAGTTGTGTGAGAGACTTTGTTCTTGGTATAATAAAACATACAATGCTGTGTGATCATTTTCTTATTGTTAAAAATGTTTGACCACATTCCTATTATGCTTCCTCATTCTATGGATGCATTATATTGTCACGCAAGACATGATTTGTTCCATAAATTGATTTGAAAAAAAGTTCCTGCCAGTGGCGAAGGAATACTATATTGTCATATATTGTATTAAAAACACACAAAGAATGAGAGTTTCAGGGGGTTTTCTTAGTTAAAAATGCAGAACAGGTGCTCCTCAAGGACAAGGTTAAGAGGCTAACTTACTTTGAGAGAGTACAAAAGCAAGTAAAAAGGTCAGGCAATCAAATGGGATGAGTTAATGTGTTTTGACACAGTGGTGTCTTTGTCACTGCATAGATTTTAGTGCCCATTTAACACGGAGATTATGTCCTAGATGTGTAAAAAAATATATGTGTATTGTTATAACCTTTCTACAATAGAAGCATAAATAGACTTGAATGGACAAATACAGCTACACTAGTTGAGTGTACACATCTCAGGGTTGCATAGTTATGGTGAATAAACATCTCCTGTGCTAGACATCCAGAGTCATCTACTTCTCTTTCAGGCTACTTCAATTATTTCTACAACATAAAGTAATATTTTGAAGGCATCCACAACTCTGTTTCCCTATGAAGATATACAATGAAATGTGTCCTATAGTCCACACCAGCCTTGGCAGAAAGCCAACATTAAATGTTAAATAAAATAAATAAATGCAAGTGCAATGTACTGGTAGGAGTTAACATAGACAACATGTTTTCTGTTGTTTAGAAACATGATGTTATGGGCATTTAAGCAGTACTTAAAAAAAAAAAAGATAATAATAAGGATATCATTGCTAAATTGCTTGGTATTAGGACTTACCCTGTCTGTTTTGAAGATGTAGTAGAGGGTAAAAAGGGGAAAGACTCCAAACATGAACCCAAACATAGAAGTCTTGAATGTTGGTCTAAAGTGCGAATAGGGGTTGGTACGAGCATACACCCAGCGCGTCAGTGCAGGATCTTCCTGTATGGACCATACAATTTACAATTCAAAAATGCAATACATACAAAATTATTAAGACGATAGGAAAAGTTGCCAAAACATCTGACAGTCACTATGGCTTAACTATTTTAGAATGATCACTGTTTAGATAAAATGTAATTATAATTACTAGACACATCATGATAATGACTCCATTGACTTATCATTCAATACATAAAACTGGAATAATTATTTTTGGGCTTACAATAATGGGCAGAGTGAATTTGAGATTTGAATGAAATGTCTATTTTGAATGGTTTACTACATTATCTTGCTTTATAGTTATTGTGTCATGTTATTGTTTGTCGTTTTCTGTAGCAATATATCGTGCTTCAAAACGTGTTATCGTGACAGGCCTAATAATCACTGCTAACAGTGGGCACCTGTTGGCCTGGCACGGGCTGAAGCGGACACTGAGAAACCTGCACCTGGGGTACGTCTCCTCTATTTTCTACTTACTTCACTTGACAACGTTATTGATCAGAAAATGATGGACATAGTTGTAGTTGGATAGTTTAGAGATATTTGTATCCAAACTATTTAGCTAAACTGGTAGATAGAACAAACAAATAGACTAACGCTGGTTTCATTATCGGTTCAACAATTCTGCATCGTTTGGTTTAATCAATCATCAGTGTAGTTTACTAAAAGCAGTATACTTATCTACCTCTGTTATACTGTACGCACACTAATTCTACACCGAGATCTTTCTGCACTGCATCTCTGGGCTCTCCTAAAGGGTGACATTGCTAGCCAGCTAGCATGTAGCTACTTACAATGAGCTCCTTTCTGTGCGGGTTGTTCAGTTGTGTTTGGTACTGTCTCTTCAGATTGGCTCGCAGTGCGGCTCGATCTTCTTCTGCACGTCTCTTTTCTGGTGAAAGGTTAAAATAATCGTTTGGATCCAGAGTTCTCGGCCGAGTGGCCAAGGGCGCTTCTTTGTAGTCCGCCATGTTTGTTTGGAGAGAGCGGAGTGAAATCTCGTCAAATATCGCGTGATTGCCGCCGTTACCATAGTGACGAGTCAAACTTCTGTACCAGCACAGAAGTTGATCCAAATTACATTATGGACATTATGGAGGAGGAAAATGAAAGTAACCCCGACGTATGGCTTCATACCTCTAGTGAAACTGAAGATGGCATACTTGAAGAAGACCACAGAGACATGGGAGAAGACAATTGGAGCTCGATACAAGAGGAGCACGACTTGAAAGCTAAAGAAAAAACAGCTCAAGAAGTTAATGATGTTTGTGCACTGCCCGCGCACACAGCGACCCTGTCTGTCAGCGGGGCCAGCGCAGCGAGTAATGCCAAAACTGTGGTCGAGTTTTTATGCAGTTTTCTGTCCCAGATGGGAATGACAGATACTCTGGACTGCTTTCAAGCGGAATGGCACGAGATGGTTGTAAATGGACAAATTGATCCTAGACGTATTGACGTGATGCCAAATGTGTATATCCAAAACTGTCATTTGGAAAACGAGCTGCAAAACGCCCAAAAAGAAATCCAGGAGTACAGCCAGGCCATCGCTGCAGCGGAGGAGACTGTGATCAAGATCCAAAAGGCCAAGGACGATCACTGGCTCAGGCACAAGCGCGTGATTCAGGAGAAAAACAAGGTTATCGAGGATATAAGAAAACTCACAGCCCGGTGCAATGAATACCAACCTAAAGTCAAGCAAATGAATGAGAAATATCAAGAACTTGTGCAACAGACAAAAAATGCCACAAGGGTAAGGGACGAGACTTTGGTCCAGGCAAAAAAGCACAGCAACTAAACCAAAAGCACAGTATATAAAAATAAAGAGTTACGATATAAGTTTAATATTTGTTTATCCTATTTTTAAGTTAGGATGACTTCAAAACACACTTCCAAAAGTTCTAAGGATGTTGCATGTACTTGCCATATCCACCATAAGAGGGCGGCATTGGAAAGAGAATACTGTGAGCCATGCTGTAATCTTGTAAAGAGAGGCTCTGATGTTGTACAGTGTCTAAGTGCCTAAATTATGGCTCATCTACCCCTTTTTAATACAAAGCACTAGCTTCTCTGCACTTTGAACCTCCAAATTCAATAAAAGATCACACTTTGAACCCAAATAAATGAGCAGTGGAAAATGTAAATGAAATATTAATCTGTTTTTGCCCTTCTGGTGCTCAGAGTTCTACAATACAAGTCTATGGAAAGTTTTGAGGCATTTCTTCTGCACTTATTTGAGGCTTTTCAAATCCAATTCATTGTTATCATAATTTGATAAGTGATGTTGAGTGATTCATAGAAAGATGGAGGCATTTTTAAAACCATACATCCTGAAATGGTTTGCAGATACAGAAATCAAAGAGAAAAAAGCATGAATATATCAACACTGTTTTGCTTTATTTAGTTTGAAGTCACACTGCAGTTTGAGATATTAAAGCAGAAAATGATCTAAAGTGCTTTTTAGTTGCTCACTCAGTTGAAATACCGTAACAGTAGTCTCATTAAATGCCATTTGTCTGTAGCTATGTGGTTAGTTGCATGTCTCTGTTGCTCCACCCACAGTTCATCAGTTGGATTGGGAATTTTTCTTGCTTCAGTATCAAATGTGTTGAGCTATCGAACATCCTGTTATTTTTCTGTCTGACTCCTGCTCCTCCCTCTGGGACATATTGTATTCACTTCACTGCTGTATGACCTTTTGTGTTGTAAAAAACAGACGTCCACATCATGTTTCTTGTTCTGTCCTTTTTTAACCAATTCAGCAAAAGTCACATTTTTAATTTTGCACATTATTTTACCATTATCCCCTAAACATTTTCTTTGCAACACTCAATCTTAAGGTATAAAATTGATTTTTTTCTGTCGGGGTCTATTCCTCTCTTAATAAATCAGCACTCTGGGACCTGTACAGTGGACAGTGGGTCAAACTCAGCAATATTTTCTGCTTTAATGTACAGACCACAGCAGAGATTGGCTCCTGCTGGTGACTCAGCAGGCATCCATCATCCTCAGAGCTACACAGATGAATTACTGAGGAATAAATTTGCCCAAATACTGTATTTTTACCTGAATATAAGGCTCAGCATCAGTTTGTGAAACTCTTTGCTATTCTGCTCTATATTTAACCTCAAAGACAGCTATTGAGGCTGGAACATTTTCAATACAGGACCACCTTCATATGAAGTAGCACTGGATGTGATTGTCTGTTTTTACTGAACTGTATGCTATTTTTAAAATTTTAAGTTGAATTAATTTTTTTAATCCACAAATCATGAAACTAATTTATATTAATGACTAGGTCAATGTTCTCACTACGATACCAAAATTAATGACTAATTTTACCTACATCCTACCTCTCATGAAAAACAGAGGGAGAATCTTGTCATCTGACACCCATAGTCACTGTTCTAATCTTGGGAATTGTTCATTTAACTTTGTAAACCAAGATGGATTTTCATGAATTGCGGAGAACTCGATTCAGAGTGCTGCACATCAGTCTGGCATGAGCCAGGTTATTGTTAATTGTAAAATGTGATGAATCTCTTAATCAAAGCTTTTTATAGCATAGACTTGTAAACAAGGCCCCCTGCCATTTCCATAAAGGGCATCCTGTTGATATATTGATCTGACTTTACATTGATATTAAACCTGTGGCTTGTTTTCCTGTGCATGGGACTATACTTCTGGCAGGAGGAGTTGCCTGTTTTTTGTAGATGATGTGTGTGAGGTGCAGAGGGACAGAGGGACAGTCTTTGACCTGTTCCTGACGAGATGGGATGTGGCAGGAGAAGAAAGGAGGAGACAGATACAGCCTCAGAGTACAGTCTCAGTCTGAGTTCAGCTGCACTAGGGAATACAGGGGCAGCACTCAGAGCATACTGAGCTAAACACCATGTCCTCACTGTCAATTACTAACTAATCATGTCCTACAAAGTTTGAAGGCCTTTAGTTTAGTGAGAGAGTTTCAATCTGACATTTTAGTTTAAATGCATTTCATGTTCCTCTTTCCCTAAACTTAAAACACTCTTGTTTTGCCTCCATTGGCATAAAAGTGCTGAGTGATTTGTTTTTTATTCTATAGGCCTCCAGAGTTATTGTGATACTAAAATGAAAACTTGATTACTATGAAAATCATGGCTCTAAACTCAGTACTGATTTTGAAACAGGACCATGTGAACTACTGCAGCACAGCTTTCTGGGACCCATCTCTAGATTGTGAGCACAGCTCGGTCAGGAGTACTTTAGATGGAGGAATTGACTTATGATGCATGTTTTTGTTGATTGATTAGTGTGGGAAGTAACTTTTTGATGGCTCTATGTGCAACATAGCAAAAGTAAAATTTGTGGATTCAAGAATAAATATTTTCATGAGCAATATTATCATTTCTTTTTAAGTAACATACATTGAACTGAATAGTGGGCTAGATAATAAGATTCACAGTCCTTGACAGTCCAGTTGGCTGTTTGTCATCAGAAAAGACATTTGATTGAGCATCCTACACAACTCCAGCCCCATGTAAGCGATTACAACCAGGCTGAAAATTGCATGGAGTTAAAAGAACTTGAAAGAAGAGTTAACATAAGGATAAGATTGCCTAATAGTCTCCCAACCTCAAGTATCATAGTTATCCCTAATATCACATTTAAATGGAAGACTAACCAAGCACTGGTTACTGATACCACTGAGGAATTTGTTTACTCGTGTTGTCCCGCACCGCTGATGTTTTGGGATGAGACTGCCCTGTCAACATGAAACTAATACTTAACTCTGTGGTTTCCAGTTTTGGAGACTGAGGATTTTTGCTCTTGGCCACTAACTACATAAACTGCTATTGGCTTTTTACGGAAAGTGCTGCACATACTAGTTAAACCACAAGCCTATAGATTGGGGGTACTTATCTTCATCTTTGTTCTGGAGCATTAGACGCAGTGGAAACAATGCCACACGCCATTTAAATGACCACGAGGGCTGGGAAAATACAGTAAGGCTAGTTTTAACTTGACCACACACAGTGACGCATGTTCAGATTAAAGACCGACCTTTCTTTAGAATTTACATCATAAAGAGTCTGTGTTTCCTATATTTGACTGTCTATGGTCACAGTCTTCACATATAATAATGGACGAGATACATCCCATCTGTTTGTGAAGACGCACCTTGGTCCTTCATGTCATCAAGGAGTCATTTCCCAGAATGCTTTGCCCCCAGGGTGGGTAGAGCCAGTGATCCCCTGCTGGCAGCTGTCATGTCATATGTGATGTCATGACAGCCCAGTGCACCGAGGCCTTCCTTCCTGCTGTTTCTACACAGAATAGCAATAGGATCATAGTGTTTATCAAGACGTGTTTGCTTCCCGGATCACACAACGGCGTCCAGCTGTGCTTTGTCACTGTACCAACTCACAACCTGATAATCTTGTACATTTGATAACTGGGTCAGATACAACCAGATACAACACTTGCTCAACCATCACCTCCACTTTCCTCAAAGAAGCAACAATTATGCACCACCAGGAAATAGCAGTGTTATAAATAGCATTACACTGTGTTATTTTCCCCATCTCTGCCTGTTTGTCTATAAACAGAGAGATATGAGGCTGGAGAGGAGCACACCTACGTCACAGCTTTGAGCAGTAATGAGATGGTGACTCATCCCATTCACTTAGACTGCCTCTGCTCTGCTCGTCTGTTGCTGCGTCGAGGACACACTGTACTGGACTGTAAACTACTGGGTCACTTTGACATGCTCACCTTTTTACTGTATGTTGTAATATGCACATATACCAGGCGGAGCTAGTCATAAGCTTCATTCTCCTATAATTATAGCTGAATCACATAGCAGTAAGTGCCAACCATAAATGATAAAAAATATGCACACTATGCACTTTTTCTGGTGGAAAGTATGGCACCTGCTTTATCTCCATGGAGATTTACTTGCTTTACCTACATTTTCCACATTATCACCCTATTAAACTTGTCTATCTTGGATTTAAGGAAGTACAAGTGTTTTTATTGTGCAAACATACCTCGAGAAACATGCATCTATACAGATCTGACCTGTAACTTCGCCTGATGATGTCATCTGAGAGCGAAGTGAAATACTATACTGTGGGACTTTAAAGAAAAAGCAATAATATCTCCATGGAGACAAGCACCACTAGAAAAGTTACACAGTGGCTCTTTAAATATGACATATGATTTAAATAGGCTGGGGAATAGATGGCCTGGATAACACTGAGACTCCTTTCCTCATACCCAGATGTTGAACACTTTCCACCAATGTAATGTAAATGAATTAATTTGGGCTCCCTGCAGTTTTATTCAGCTGTCTGTACCTGTTAAAAGCCCTTCAGACTAATGTAGAGATTAGTCGGCGGCCCCTTGTGTGAGAATGTGGCGTTCTGGAAAGAGAGGAGGAAAATCTGAGCTGTCACACATCTATACACATCCATAATGGACATATTAAACTGTTTTATAGACCAGCTCCTTTCTGCAGCACAAAGCACTTAGCGATTTAAGATTTTTAAAATATATATTTAACTAAACTTTTATTGAAGTCTAATAAAATAGCTCCAAAAATATACTGCCTTGTTAGAGTCCATGAGAATACATTACAACAAAAGACCCAGCTACAACAATAGAGAAAGCATATAGAAATATATATATATATATAAGTCCACAAATATTAAGGTATATAAAAACAATATTATTTAGAGAATCCCCAACAGATTTAAATTTTAAGGTAAGGTTGTATTTGTTTGTTTTCATTTGGGCTCGACGTTCTGGGCTTCACTTTGTGGGTCCCCCTGCATAGAACACACAGACATAATATACTGTACATAGACCAGACCTATACTGCATGTACATTGTTAGTTGTCTTACCAGAACTGAGTAAGCCCCTGATCGATCCATCTTCCCTCTGCTTTGTGGTTCATTCTTCACTTGTCTCCGTGCTCTAATTACCTAAAATCAGAGATGGGTAGAGCAGCAGTGGTTACTAGTAGTGAAAGTAACTGAGTTACTCTCTGGACGTCACATTGGATTTATAATTTAAAGTAAAATTTGAAGGACATTAAACATGGTACTTTCAAACAATAGACCACAAAAATATCATATCTGAAAGCATCAGTGGAACTTGTGTAACCAAAACACTTAGAGTACTGTTACTGTGAAATACATTACTCAAGTAGCAGTAAAGTGGCTGAAAACATTCACAAGGTTACTCAACTAAATGCAACTGAGGACTATTCAACTCTGCCTAAATCCCCACCAGATTTAAATGTAACATCGGCACAGACTAGACAACTCTTCCAAGAATACCAGGCGCCTGCCCTTAACTACTGCTGTTGCTGCTGGCACATCCGTCCGCGTCGCCCCTGTTGCTCCTGCCCGTTTCCATGGAGACTCACCTGTAGGGGGGTGGACTTGTCGTGGGTGAGAAGCGAGTAGGAGCCGATGCGGATTTTGCGCTTGGACTTTTTCTTATTCGCAGTTTGAACCAGGTGTCGTCTGGACCTGTCAGCCTGAGGGAAGTTATAGATTGTATTACTGTTTTTCCATGTAGCTTTTTCATACATGCTGTTATTACATTTATTTGGCTTTTAATTTGGATGCCCTGCCAGATTTCATCCTTTACTTATCTGAGAAGTGCAATTATTTCTTTGTGTAGACTGTCCTTAAACACCCATGCATTTTATATAGGTGGACATTTAGCTTAAATGAGCCCATGAGGTATGAAACTCATCTATTTTGATCTTCCTTGTGATTATATATGAAATACATGGTGAACAAAATGACCATAAAATCTCATTATGTAATAAATACTATATATAGGCTTATCACAGAGTTTCAGCTACAAGAGATCGAAGGTATGGCTACTTTGACTAAGTCCTAAGCTTGGATAAGATGTGTGGTCAGGAAAGATATAACTTAATATGCCAGTTGTAACACTTTAAGTAGCAAAGAGAAACAAAGTTGCGTAATAATGGATTTTCAATAGCCATTCACTGCGTCATTGTGTAGTCCTTGATAAAATCATACCACAGTGAATCACATTGTCCACACAGTATGACTTTTACAATCCAACACCAGCGCAGTTCCCACTCTCCCACCTCTCTGGCTTTTTGCCCTGTGGCTCAGTGCTGTGGTAGTGCAGTGACTAACAGTGAGGTGTACCTGGATGAGGGTGTTTGGGAAGCCTTTGACGGACACAGACCCTGGCAGGCTGGACTGACTCAGGTGGGTGGGACCCCTCCGCTCCAACTGCCGCTTAGCTCTGAAGAAAGCCTGAAGGATGAGACACGCGTCAGCACAACCACAAGGGAAGAGAGCGGAGGAGACAGTGATTCTGAAGCTTTTGACATAAAGCAACTCTGGATCATTATATAATTTCAAACTTTAAAAAGTAGTTATAGATCAGATCAGACTTAAAAGGTTGCTGTCATAGCAAGACATTATAACATTCAGTAATCCCTATGGTTTGAAAATTGAGCTGGAGGGCAGGTCAAAATTCATTGGTAGAATTTAACTTTTAAACATCAGAATGCAGATGTTATAGCCTGGCTTTTGGTTAATACCTCTGTAATAACTGTGCCTATCAACATGAAACAAAAACTGTCACAAAGTTCAACGTCTTCTCTGTCCGCATAAATAAACTGAAGTTAAATTGTGCTTTTACAATAGCTTCAGAAAGTGGTGCCATTTTATAACTCCAAAGTCGTCACTGTTGGCAGTTTCATGGGACCGCCATCAGAAAATTATGACATAGTCTAGAACCAATCAGCCAATCTATACAAAGGATTTTCACCAATTCACTACTGTGTATACCAAATCTAAACAATGTAGTCAAGATCAATGCCAGAATTTATCCTAGATTATACCAGGTCTAAACCACCATGATTGCATAGTTTGAAATGCACTAAGCTACAGTTGTTCTTGTTCCATTGGAAAAACTATGAATTGCCCTATGGCCTCTTCAATTTCCAGCATTTGTATCGATCCGAACATAAGTGAGCCAATGCTATCGACCCCTCTTTTTCCTAACAGATGAAGTGACACTTTGAGAAACAACAGCCTTCACTTTACTGATTAGACTTCACAGCCAATTTATAACAAGGTCTGAGGGGTTTTATATTTCATTGTGGATTACATAAATCAAAAAATAGAAAGATTGTTTTTTGAAATTGGATGAGAAAGTGCTATTTCTTCCACTTTTCCTCTAAAAAAAAATCTGTCCATGCAATCATTTGAAACAATGAGCTTCATAAGTGATTGCTGTTGACCTACTTCAAAAAACCTCAAGTGTAGTTTTTGCTTTGAAAGGACTGTCAGAGCTATTATGTTAGAAGTGTTTTTACTGAAATTCATGAAGCGTCTGTCCTCAATTCTCAAAATAACAACTTACTCACAACAACATCATATTATTATTCCTATTTGTAATATCCTAGTGCTGCTTTGGCCTGGATTGACATAATTGTTTTGGGTGTTATGTAAGCATGCTCAGACAAAGAGAGACACTGCCTTTCCCAAACCTTACAATTCCCCTCAGTTGTTTGCCACTGCATTTAAGCACAGAGCAATTTTCACTGATTTCCATGACACACCACCAAAGTCATCAGGAAGGATTGAGAGAGATTGGGTTAATCCTGTGGAGAAGAAGAGTAAATAGTGACACATACCAGGCCATTGGTCAGTGGTAGACCCATCTGCTGCACGTGGTCTTCAGTCTGAGAAAGGGAAAAGAAGCTGGATAACTTTACAATGTTACAATAGCACAAATGTACTCAGGTATGCCCAGCACAGCATGTCTAATCAATAGACTGTATCCAAAGGCAAGATTAGTGACCTTTTACTGATCTATTACTTTTTAACTGATATGCCTTTCCTCTTCTGACCTTTTTTTTTTTTCTGAGCACTGAAGTCTCAAATGCAGGACAATACAGGATTACTCAAATATGCATCAATCAATCAACAAATTTTTCCCCGACAGCTAATCATCTAGTCTTTACCCAGTGACTTCTTGTGATTAAATATATGCATTGATTTAGGCTTGGGACTGGCAGTATAGTCAGTTTGTCTCTATATGCCATATGTTTTATGTGAATTAAATCAGAAATAAAGCCTTTGGGGACGATTCACAATAATAACATGTTATAATAAGCTGTTTACATGTACAGACAAGCACATCTGTTTAGCTGTCAGCACCTCTTACATCAAAACATTTAAGTACAGTCATTTCTTTGAAAAATTCCAGCTGTTTTCTCCTCATAAAACTTTGTCTATAATGAGCGCACATGTTTAGATTATAAAACTCTTTCTTCATCTAATCCAATTTATTTTGCTGCCAGTGTAAATTCCTTGAGATTCCCATAAATTGCAGATTTAATGCTTTCAAATTCAATATAAACTCCATTGACCTTGGTGGGAACGCAAGTGAAGCCCTTTGAAAACTCTTCTGCGTATTAGTTAGTCCTGGCCACATTTGAAGCTTATAATTGGCCTGTGCTGTAATTACTTTACAAATAACGGCTGGAAAATGCACATCTGTGGTGCAAACTTCATCTGGTTCAGAAATCCAGAGTATTTTGTCGTGTTTCAAAGTGCGGGTTAAAAATTGTCCCTCTCAAGTCTTGCAGCTGTTGAAACCGTCATCCACATTGGTTTGATTACATTGGACACAACATAAGGACTGTCCGCAGAAAAAAATGTCCACCGCAAAGTTTAAAGTGCAACAGCCGGCAGCCACATGAAACGCCAAAACAGGAGCTGAAGCAGTTTGTTCCATACAGGCTATATTTTAGGGCATTGTGGCTGTAAAAACCATTACAATGAGACTTTTGTTTCTTTTACACAAATTATATGTCTGTCTGGGGCCTTAGGTTATGAAACGACTGGACTGTCCAAAATAGTGCACCTCGAAGTCCCCAGAAGTCTACACATAAAAGTATAACCATTTCTCTGTAAACGTGGTTGACTCAGTAAAAAATATAGTTATCCATATTATGCAAGATTTCATGAATCACAAAAATATAGACATATTTACACATAGAGCAATAAATAATTTATTCATATCAGTAAATGCTTTCTTACACTCTAAAACTCCTTTTTATAAAGGCTAAACCAAAATCTTACACAAAAAAGTAAAACTCCTGCCTCTCAAATAAATCCTTTAACTACAGTCTTACAAAAATATTACCTTTTATTAAACACACCTAAGAGCCACACACCTTGCTATAGAGTTGATCCCCCCCATAGCCCTTAAAAAGCAGGATCCTCTTACCTGTGAGTCTGCAGGCTGACAAGGCGCTCCCTGCTCCGCTCCGGGACACTGCAGAGCCTGTAGCACACTGGCCTGAAGGCAGAGCGCACACAGCCACAGAGTGAGAGCCATGATGAGGCAGGACTCAGAATGCTCCGCGCGCACTCAGCTCCTGGCTTTATACTCTCGCCTCGTCCTAATGGAGAACAGATGCACAGCAGAGCTATGCCAGCTTCACACAGACAAACAGCCCACCACAGCCCTGTGCTCTGGGCCAACAGCGGCCAGCGCTCCCCACAAACATGTCAGACATGCTGAGGCCTCCCCCTGCCCACGACCACCACCCCAACCAGAGCAGCAAGAAGCCATTTTCCACTTATGTCTGCACTCTGCATCCTCCTGTGAGTGAGGAAAGAGCTCAGGCTCCACAAGTTACACATGAAATATTAGAGGGTTTGTTCTGATGTGAAGTCATTCTGTGTTCAGAGAAATGACGAGTGTGTTTTGAATGTGATGCATGTACAGTAGCACTGTGTACTTTACTGTACTTTACTGACACTACCATAAAACCTATGAGGGACAAAAATGCAGCTGTATTAATTTAATTGCCATTAAGCGTATCCTGTGGTCAAGTGTAATGGGATAAGTACATGCTGCTTGTCCTTTCCCTTAAACTGGCTGTCTGGTTTACATTATCGGGTGGGCGTGTGGATGGATGTTAGCATACCTGTGCAGTTTATATAGCCCTTATATGCCCATAAAGCATGCATCCTGATGGGGAAAGTAGTCCATGAATAGTCTGCTGTCTGAGGTGTGCCAAGGATGGAAAGTGTGAGTGGGACTGCCTCAGGCTCAGTCACCTCCAGTCGCCTGAATGCAGACGGAAACATGTGCAGCAGGAGGAATTTAATTAGACTTTAGATCAGCTCCAATACATGCGCATGTAGCTCAGTGTATCAGCCAAGGATGTCTCTCTCATAAATGTGAAGGATTCTGAGTCACAGTGGGAGCCAGGGGAATATGCTACAAGATGGTTATTCATCTTCCTTATTTCTGCTGTTTTTCTGAAAATTGGACCCTGTGTAAGAAGCAGTGCTGCAAATGTTTCCCTAGAGGTTCGGTAGACCACCGGCTCGGCAGCTGCCGACTAATGATGTGAAGCCAGGGATGGGATGTTTAGTCCAGAGACAGGAAGCAGAGGGGTGAAAAATGAGTTCAAGAAAGAGCCAATCCAAACTGGACTCCAGGGTCGACAGTGGACAAACTTGTCAGTCATGTTAGCACACCCATCCAGACATGATGATTGTTATACACACACTTTTTTGAGTAATGTTAAGTCCAGTTTCTTAACTATACCTCCTGAGTCATAGTAACCTTTTCTTTCCTAGTCTCATAAGTTTGGGGTTTCTTTCAAGAATCTTTAGCTCAATCCAAATGCACAGTCATTCTTAGTATTTGCCCTCATGTGCTTCCTCTGGGATTTGTCATTCATCTGCTTTGCTTTGAGCTCCTGTCAATGTGTCGGAGTTTGATGTGCGACCGCCACTGGCTGCAAAACAGTTTTTTCTATGCTATACGCTGTCTTCCCTAACCAGGGAACCAGGGAACTGAGCAGACAGGCAATTTTCCAACCACATACATTTTGGAAGCATGTTTAGGTACAGTTAAGCAACAAATGAAAGACATAAAAGGAGAAAATGCAAGGATTCAAGACGTGACCTCACACAATAATGGCTGCTTGGGTTTCTTTTGTTTAGTTGAACATTTTGTCTTCAGACTGGATAATATAGGCGATTGTTTTATCATTTATTACCTGTTTGTTAAGGTGTACTTTGCCAAGGCACTGCTGTAAATAGAGTTGCGTAATTCATACTTTGCAGCAATGTGATCAGCATTCCCTGAGTGTGTGATGCTAACTGGAGGTATTACTCTGTTACTCAAGTTAGCCTTTAATGTGAATTTTGCGTTAACATGATCTGCCCATAAAGAACGGTCTTAGCTGGAACTACAGCAGGTGAGCTGTCCCTCTAATAACACTACAGGCACAGGCTAGCTAGCATTAGCCAGCAGAAATGAACAGAAATAGATTTTATTTATTTATTTATTTATTTTTCGGAATAGGAAATATACTTCTCGAACCAGGGGCAGGCGGCCACTGTTGAGCTCCATAGGAGAAAAAGGTGGAGAAATGAGAGTTTGGGCAAAGGACTGAGGCACTAAGTGCAGCCCTGAGGAGTATAATGTAACAGTACAAACACTTAGGTCATGGTATTGTTTTTCAATCAAATCTTATTGTCAGGGGACCAAAATCTGATAGATATCTGGGAACATGCAGTCCATATGACAAGATCCTGTGCTTGTACAGTACTTCATGTCTCCATAGGTCTTGGTGAGAGACATGTCACCCCCCTCTGGACACAAATCAATACTCCTTTGAAACACACTGTCCTTTCATTTCATGTGACAGCTTTGCTAACAGCTCTGTGGAAAGGTGCGAGGATGAGAGAAGAAGCAGCTTTTAATCCTCTCATGTGGAAAGAACAAGCCGAGCCAAGGACAAGAGCTGGGCACAATACTGACATCAAAACCACCATTTGCAGATATCGTCTTGGTCCAAAGGCTTGGTTAACTTCCAATTTGTTTAGCAATGATTAAGGATGCTTTAAATAGATCAAATCAAAGTTTATTTATAAAAGCACTTTTCATATAAAAATTTAACACAACTGTTACATATTAATTACATTTTTTTTTTTTTTAACTCACTGGTGTCTTGCTCTTAGAAATAAATCCAAATCAAAATTCTTTTGATTCCTTTAGTAAATTGGCTCATGTTATCAATAGACATCAAAGCACATAGAAAGAACATCACTGTGACTGTAGCTGATCAATTAACTCCTAAGCTGCCTGTGCTGGAGCTTTATACAAATTCTACATGTGTAAGGTTAAAGATAGGACATGATTACATTTATAAAAGATAGCCAGTGTCTATGTAAAAAGGGTAATATTATTTATCTTGACTTTGTCTGCCTTGTTAAAACAGTTCAGTGCTAAAATAACAGAAATGGCATTGTTGGTTTTGCTCATGGAATATTACGCAATTGTGTTTTTAACTTTTTTTTAAAAAACTATATCAAGTTTACAAAATTTTAGGAATTAACGGACCAATCAATTAAATTGCTTCATGACTAAGATGGTGATTACAGGTTGAGTAGGCCCATACATCTCACATAGTATATGAAACATCTTTGGATCATATTCATCTTTGCTTTGTTTTTTGGTGCAAGAAACATACTCCATGGATCAGTGCTGTGTCACGGTGACACTTGACTTGTGTCCAGTGAAGTAATAAAATCATGGGAGTGTCAGACATCTGGAGGTCATGGCCTCTCGCTCTCTGTCGTTTGTATCTTACTCGTCCTCAGCTCCTCCTGTTACCATAGCAGCAAAGAGTCGATTCAAACAATGCCGCTGTAGAGGGTTTGACGTGTAGGGACCACCACATCTGTGTCAGGGTGACTTGAGGTGTGAGCTTCAGGGCTTTATTACATTACAACAACACAGAGCTGAAGCAGACTTGTAGATCTGATTCTTCTGTGCTATGGCTCTTATATTTGGGAATAACATCATTTGAATGCTACCAAAAGGTAATTTTTTGCTACCTTCAGCTCTGGATCACATCATTTGTCTAGCGACACAAATATGAAATGTGGAGTTGTTTTTTGTTGATTGCAGAAGCACCATTCAAACCATTTGATTCTTGCCCATGCAGTTACACTTACTACCTACAAATGAATATCTTTATTTTGCCTACCTATTAAATTTGTATAACTATAGTTTTAAATCCAGCAGTCTTAAACCAGGACCTATAAGTCTGAAGAAATTAATCAATAATATGCATGCCTGGAAACAAATGTGCTGATGAGAGTGTGAATTTGTTTATATATGTTTATTTACTAATATTTAGGCATATTTATGTAGCCAGACTATAATTGTCTCTATAGATTTTCAGTATACTGTCTTGACTGGTCATGCAAACATTTTGGAGTATAAATCAGTGTTTAGTTTTAGTGTATAACTGTTATGCAAGAGGCTGTAGTTGTATTCAGACATTTATTAACTCTAGCTGTTGTTGAAAGCTAGAACAAGTTAGCATTTTAACCTTTGCTTAAACTTGTGCCAAACCTGAGCACAAACATCACAGTAAGCTGGGTGGGAAGCAATAAAAAGAGCTCAGTGGTAAACAGCTGCGGCTAAACTTGGCTACAGATAACTATTGGCAACCCTAACAAGAAGAAGTGGAAGCGCCTGGTGCATTGGCTCTGGTTCGTGCACATTTGTGAAGTAAACATTGGATGGAGGGGGTTAGCAGCTCGTCGCGCTGTGTGACTAATACAGTCTGCAGAGGGATCGACTAGACTGTCAATATGTTGTGGTTTCTCCTTTCTAAACAGCAGAGGGGAAAGAGGACAAGGGGAAGTGATTACGGAGAAAGCCCTGGATTGTTTGTGTTTGTAACAAATAGGGTCTAATACTTTATAGAGGGTTGTCTCACAGCTGACAGTAAGACTTATAGTATGATAATTTTTGTAATTTCTCCATGCCTGCAGTGGTATGTCAAGTACAATAAATACAGCTGAGTTGCTTTGTAAACTGAAACAAAGCTTCTATTTTGGCCTAATCAAAACCAGCATCCAAAATGTCCAATGATAAAAATAACTTTTCAAAATTGCTTTATTTTATTCTTCCTCGTAGGGAAATTCGTGCTTTGCCTTTGACCCAATCTTCAATGCCACAACCTGTTAAGAGATGTAGGTAGCCACAGTGCACCGCTTGAACACCCATCTCCAAATCTTGAGCTAGGCTATATCAATACTATCTCACTTGAGAGAATTATCCCATGCCATGAGTAAAAAAAAGGATCTTCTTAAATCCAAAATTCACTTTATTACATAGCACATATATATCATACCAGTCATAAACAATAAAATATAAAGTCAAATAAATAAGAAGAAAAGTGCTATCCACCCAATTAAATTCTATTTTCCCACCACAACTTTGTTGATGTGTTGTTGCTATCACATAACAAAAATAGATTAATAATGAAGTGTGAGATCTGAAGTCTTGCCTGTATTCTAGTGTAAAT